TAATCAGTTGGTCACCCTAACCTGCTGATTTCCTTTGACAGTTTTCTTGTTTCACTTTGCTATGTGTGCAGTAACTTGATTCTTAGCAAACTTGTCTGAGAAACAACTCCTATTGAACTGTGTGTGTGTTACGTACAGCAGGTAGAGTCAGAAGAGAAGTTGCCAGATCATCAGCATTGTTGTTTGAGGAGTGGTTTTGTTCATCACCTCTACAAGCATGTAACTGAAGTTCTTGGCCTACCTCTTTCATTTTCCTCCTCCCAAAGATCAACAGTGTGCTTACACATACCCAGAAAGTATCCTGCTCTCATGAGTTTGAAAGCTTAGACAAGTCTGCTTTCTGTTCAGCTGTGGGTTTTGCTCAAGAACATCAAGCATATTCTTTAAAGTAGCCTAGGAAATTTCCCATTACTCTGCAGGTTTCCTGCCAGGCTGACCTAAGAAAGAGAAAGGACTCTTGTGGCAGTAAGAAGGGCTAATTGTAGAGCAATAGAGCAGTCTGTTCAGTAGTCTTTAATTAGTAGGGTAATTGCTCCTCATGCTGTCCTTCTAAGCCAAATCACCACCATCAGTCATTAGGAATTGAACATTTTCTACAAAGTTTCTAGGAGTTAAAATATTGTTTCCAGAGACTTGGTACAGCAGCAATTTGCTCTGACCTGATTTTTTTGTATGACTTAGTTTGACCTACAGTACTTTCTGTTTGTTAGACAACGTATTGCAAGAAAAAATACTGTAGAGTATAATAGTGATTGACTGTAGATAAAGCCATGCACACAAACAATTATTTAATCTTTTTTAAAAGGTTTATACCAAAATCCCAAATTGCTCATGGCCCTCCTTTCTTCCCAAATGTGGGAGCAGAATCGAACTAAAGCGTCTTGATCTGAGATGCAGCACGCAGCTCTAATGTCCTGTACTGTGGGCTTGTTTCTCATAAAGGAAGGAAAAAGTCTTTGAAACCCAAAGAATTTCTGTAGCTCTGCTGGTGTTTCTGTAGGACAGGTACCCTTGTTTCTGAATTGATTAGCAAATTGAAACATGAAGGTGCTGTGGTGTAAGTTACAGTCTAGAGAAAATGCAAATCTGAAGATTTTGCTGCATGTGTGGAGTGTTTTTGTAAAATGACCCATTCTTTTCTGTTATGGACAACTTCCAGCTTTTTCAAAAACCAAAAGAGGATTTTTGAGAGTTGCTGCTTGATTTCAGTTGTTGATTAGTACAGCTGCATTCCCTGGCTGCTTCTGTTGTGGTTTCCCTCTTTCATGGGATAACAGGCCGCAGAAGGGTCAGCTACATTACCCCGTGCATCATTTTATTCCACTATAGCTTATTCCAGCTCTAGTGTGAAGGGACAGTATATACTTTTTCTTTGAAATGGAATGGAACTAAATTGTGTTGTGTCCCAACTTGTTGCGTTTGATGGAAATGGGTATCTTTGGTTCCCTGTAGCATGAAAGAAGAGAAGCTTACTTACTGATTTACTCCGTTCATGGTTTTGTATTGGCAGAAATGCAGATCTAGTCAGTGCTGGCAGGGCTGGAGTTAAGTCCTCTTCCACTAATCTTGGACTAAAACTCAGGTAATTTGAATCAGTTTCTCTGCGTGGACTTAGGTTTTAATTTCTTTGATTAAGGGAAGCTATCTCGTATTGAACATATTACAGGAGACATAGGCATTATCTAATAATACATTGTGGTAATATGTTTCAAGAGCAGGAGAGTTAGTTTCATTTAAGTGATCTTAGGGTATCACCTAGCAGCTCTGATCTTCTGAAATGGGGATCTGGTGGGCTGTAATGTTTAATGCTTTGATTGATCAATGTGGTGAACAATCATACACACAAACAGGTGTGTGCCTGCTCTGTGCTCTTTGTTTGTTACCTTCCTGGGGGAAGGAGGGTGTCTGTAAACATTGGCAGGTGCAAATTAAACTTTAAATAGGAAAGAAAGGGTTTGGAAGTTCTCTACCAGCTTAGCTTCCTATTCTTGTGTGGTTAAGATACTTTTATGGTAATTGGGGGGGGTTTCATTTGTCTAATTGATCTTGATTCCTTATGTGTTAAATGAATGAAAAGTAGGTATTCCCAATTTTTATCTGTATGGGCCAACAGGTTTTTTTCTAGAGACTGTGACCTTTTAGTTCTGATGTCTTTCTGTAAATTTCTCAGTGACACCACATGAGATTAAGTTTTGGTTGTTTTGATTCACCAACCTGCCAGCCTCTTCAGAAAATGGATATGATTGTACATGATCAAATGTTCTACAGTGAGGTGGGAGAGGGTATAACCTTCCTGTGAAATCCCAGCTGTGCATTCCTGTTGGAAACCTGATAGTGAATTATGTTAACTGGTATTCTGATATCTATCAAATTTGCCATATCCCTTACCAATCAGACTTTGCCTGAGGAAAACCTTAAAGTTTGTGCTGTCTCTTCTGGTATCAATTTTAAAGGCCTTTGTCACAACCCCCAGCCATTCAGCCACCTTACTGCCTTGGGTGCTTTCAGAGAGGAATTACACGTTTTTATTACTTTATTTTTTTGTATGTGTGTGTACATAAAGTAGTATATGAAATATTGGAAAACTATCATTCGCAATATCATGTCCTAGTTCGTTCTGGGGTTTTTTGCCTCGATTACGGTAACTTCAGCTATTTGTGTATATTACCTCTGCATTGACTTGCTGCCCTTACCTATCCCAGATGCTGTCGCTTAAGGAAATGTCTTCATTATTCTGACCTCATCACTATAAGCCTTGAACCTATTTCACTTTTTCTCAAACTCAAGTCCATTTTCCTGATGGCTAGTGTTTTTCCTAGTTCTTTTCTGCACAATTCTCCTTTGTTCTACTGTCCCTTTTTGGTGGTTTTTTTTTTGCTTCATAGCACTTCTGTGACTGGAACAACTTTCCTGTTTGTAAACCAGAATCTTGCTGACTATGACAACCCACTTTTGCAAGCTCTCATTGCTAATGCCTCCATTTTCCTTCACCTTTCTACTGAATTAATGGGAAGCTGGTTTGAGTTGCAACTTCTTATGTTCTGGGCAGTGACATTTGTATATAGACTTTTTCTTAACATTATTTAGAATCTATGAAAAAGATTGTGTAGGAGTTAGCCTCAGTATTTTAAGGCAGGGCTATGAATGTTAAGTTGAACTGGGAAATTAATTATTCATTCAGTAAACCTCCTAGTGCAGTGTTTTCTAGTGCCAGACAGCTATGTGCTGTGCTGAGGAAGGCAGGCTGTTCAAAAGGAGCGTTTGGTTCAGATGTATTTGGCAGACATCTACTTAATTTTTAAAAAAAAAAATATTTTAAAAAAAATCATACGCACAGGCTTCAACTTTAAAGGTAGCAGGGTGCTAATAAGTAAGACACTGAGGCTTTATTTCATTAATGTTGTTTCATCAGTCCTGATGAGTTCTAGGGATTAGAGAAATCTATATGTGGTTGCAATAAACCTAGGGAAATAGCTTCACAGTGGCATTTCTGGAAAAGAAGTTTGATAATTTTTACATTGGCGTTTTGAAATGGACTTGCGTACCTTCAGCTCTGTGTCCCCAGCTGCAAGGATGGGAGTAAAGTCCAATGTAGTCATGTTCATTACCTGAAGAAGGCTGAAGGCAGGGGAAAACTACTTATTTTGGAAACGATGTCTAGATTACATCTATCTCCTTGTAAAATCTTACCTTGCTTCTCTTCAGGGTCTGTATGACATGGAAGATGATGATGAAAGTGTCTCTCCTGTTACGAGCAAACAGATGAAAATCACCACCACAAACAGTTTCCTGCACAACGCGGTAAGGGATTATCTGAACAGTCCCCACCACGCCATGCTCACATTGGGTGGACACACAGGCTGCAGCTTTACAGGGCTTATGTTCTTTTAAAGTATGTAAATGATGCTTTCTCCTGAAATGTTTGCTCTTCACCTCACCTTTCCCTTTGTGCCAATGCTTCTTGTATTATTTTTGGGACAAGAGTCATTTTAGGCTAACTGATTCTATAGGCCTTTTGCAGCCAGAATGTGGGCTTTCTGCCTTGCTGGCAGGTTGCTGCATGTTAGCTCTTGACTTTCTTCTTGTTGAAGTGCTTTGAACCTATTTTTGTTATTGTTGGAGCAGGCAAGCAAGGGAAGCTTTCTGCTGCTTGTAGAGGCTGGACATTAAAGCAGGAAATCTCTTGCATGCAAAATATTGATTGGCAGCTTGTTGGGGAGTACTGATTCTCTGGAGAAGATGGAATTGCAACACAGACAAATTTGAGGTCTTGCTCTTGGGATGGGATAACCCTGTGCAACTTAAGCTAAGAACTGACTGGCTAGAAAGAGGCTTTGTAGGAAAGAGCCTACTAAGAATGAGTTAGCAGTGCATCCTTGCAGCAGTGAAGGCCAACTGTAGATTGTATATTAGTAAGATCATAGCTAGCAAATCAAGGAAGATAATTATTGCCATCTGTTTGGCGTTCTGAGAATACACCTGGAGTATGGTGCCTATTTTTAGGTTCTATGATACAAGACAGATGTTGACAGACTGGAGCTAGTACAACAGGGTGGTCGGGGGCTAAGGAGAGGGTGAGAGCAGTGTCTTTTAAAGCTGAGAAGAGAAGGCTGTAGTGGCACCTGTCTGTGCACTTTCGCTGCCTAATAGGTGGTCATGGAAAAGGCAAAACCCAAGTCTTTTTCAGGATTGAACAGGGAAAAGGTGAGCCAGCAAATGTTTTGCAGCAAAAGAAACTAGTTAGATATGGGGGGAGAGTTATGCAATTCTCAAGGCATTGGTCAGCCTCTGGCACAGGGACCCAGAGAGGTTGTGAAATCGCCATTCTTGGAGATATTCGGTGTTTAATTGGATGAGGCCCTGAGCCAACCTGATGTGTACTTGAAGTTAGCTCTGCTTCAGACATGAAGGCTGGACATGGGTTTGTCCTAAATTATTCTGTGGTTCTAAGAAAGCAAATGAACGTGGTTTTACCATCAAACACAGGCAGTTTAGTGCAGTGATTATCCCAGTCTTTCTCATGTGGATATTCAGAATAGAGCTCCTGGCCATTTGTGACCCTTTAAATCAGCCTTATGTTTTTTTTCAGGAGTAAATGTGTTATCTCCAGTGTTCACAGCAGCTGCCAAGCACAATTTTTATTCTGGCTTTAAACTCCCCAGGTAGTTCCAACTAGAAAGGTTACGCTCCATGTCTTTGCATGCCCTAGCTTGGTGTTTCTGAAGAAAGTGCTCGTTAGTGAGGGAAGTGCTCTTTTGGGATAAACATATGCCCAGAAACTTTAGTTGATTTTTCGTCTCGAAGCTGAAAGTCTCCAGCACTGTAGTGAAGGACATTCAGTTCTTAGTGCATGCTAGTAATACTCTCCTGCTGTTACTGCTTGAAGAAGAGAGGGATGACCTTTGTAGCCTGCAGCTCTCAGAGATACTTTATTCTTTCTTCCTGTAGACTGGGCTGAGTGGCAATAAATTCTCTCTGTCCAAGACTGTTCCCCTGACTAAAGTGGTCCAGAATGATACGTACACAGCTCCACCTGCACCTCCATCTCCTATGCGGACAAAGGCCTTGACAAACATGTCCCGGACCTTAGTGACAAAAGAGGAGCCTCCAAAAGAACCAGCACCTGTTGAGGTGAGCTCATGGAAGTGGAAGATGCTCTTTATAGAAGTCTCTGAAACATCTGAAACTTTTTGTTAATTGATTATGCAAGCAGCTCATTTCTGCCTGCCTTCTACCATTATTTCTGGGACTCCATCAAGCTTATTCTGATAACTGCAACCCATGTCCCAAGAATCTGAAACCTGTCTAAACATCCTTTTCTTCAGCATTTGAGACACTGGGGAATTCTCAGTTAGTGCATCTTGCTTCTCTCAACTTTTGTATCGAGTATGGAAGCACATGGTCCTGAAGGATTCCATGTTACAGGGAGGTGGCAGTCATTTGGACACTCCTTGGAGGCTTCCATGTCCCTAGGAATAGTGTTTTAATACTACTAGTTAGGTTATTTTATGTCTGCTCCTATTTAGCAAGGAGAAAGACAGGATTCTTCCAAATACAGCTTCTTGCTGTCCACATAAGACCTCTCAGGCAATTTGTAGACAACCTGACTGGAATCGCTTTGCCAAGCTGCCTGATGTTGGATGCAGGTAACCCACCAGGTGTTCCCAGGCATGTTGAGTTCAGCATGCTTGTGAGGGGCTGGAGCCGTATTTTGGGGTTTGCTGGCTGGTACAGAGTGCAGCAGAGTGGGCATGACCAGACAGCACTGTCTATGTATGAAGGTTAAGTTACTGTTATACTTGGGAATGAAAGAGAAAAGTTACTTCAGAGAGGGATTAGCATGGAAAAGGGGCACCTTTTCACCATCAGATGAGCTGGGCTTTTGTACGTATTGATACGTCCCATTAGTAGCTGTAGCTCTTGCCTTTTGTGTGTGTACAGGCTTTCCCAGACATCCCTTCAGTGACTTTTTTTTTTTTTTTTAATGCTTTCTCTGCTGTGCTGTCTTGCCTGCTGCATTTCTGACCTTTATGTGATGCATTTGTTTGTATTGGCAGCTGGCGTTCAGTCCTTTGGAAGGTACAAAGATGACCGTAAACAATCTGCATCCTCGAGTCACAGAGGAAGACATTGTTGTGAGTGTTGCTTACTGCCAAACTGGGGATGAGTGATGCTTCTTCCCTTATCGAACTCTTTTGATAAATAACTTGATCTATGCTGAATGCAGTGAAGAGGGGTATAATGTCGGTTTGCTTTCCTTGCAAAAACTTTTGAGATTTCCTGATTATTTTTTTTGTTTTGGTTGTTGTTCACTTTTTTAAAAAGCATATGTTTAAGGAGTTGGGACAAAATACCATTTCTAGGGTGTACTGAGATACTTGGCATTGCTTAGAGGAGTTCATACCAAATCACTCTTGGTGCTGTCCTCAAACTTATGCCCCCATCCGAATTATCTAGGTGCTTTCTGTTCTCAGTAGGCTGAGAATGAGCCTGGTCTTCATGTGTGACAAACAGTATAGAGTACTGGGCCTTGAACTTTTCTGCTTGTGTTGGTAGCAGTGTGGAGCTTTGTGCAACCTGTATTAGTAATGCCAGCTACTCATACCGTAGCAAACACAAAATAAGACAAGTGGCAAGATTCTGCCATGTATTTATTAAGCAGGATGGGTGGTGCAGTTAGGAAACTAAGCCTCTCTCACTTGGTGTCTTTGGCTGAAATGAAACTTTTGATGTGACACATGGTCATGACTAACTCTCTGCCCTCAGGAGTTATTCTGTGTGTGCGGTGCTCTGAAGCGAGCCCGGCTGGTGCACCCTGGAGTGGCTGAGGTAGTATTTGTGAAGAAAGAAGATGCTATCACAGCATATAAAAAATACAACAATAGGTGCTTAGATGGTAAGTTTGAAGCCAGAGTTGCATTTGTTGATTTATCTATCCTAAAGACTTTTCTACCTCAGTGGAGAGTTTAAAAGCATCTCAGATGCAAAGAGAGAGAAAATGCCAGAAAATCAGTTCAAGAGCTAGGCAATGTAATACGCTTCTGTGTAACTAGCTGAATATATGCACAGTTTATTTAAAGGAAATAAAAAGTTTTCCTACAAAGAGAACGCTCAAAGCTAGAGGCAGGGTCCCGGTGATTCTGCTGGTCTAACTTCCACATGAAACTGCTTTTGTTTCTAATCCAGTGCTGAGAGCTAGAAAGTCCTTAGGAAGGCTTTACCTGCCTACAGAATAGCTGTTTGCAAAGTACGAGTAAAACTAATACTTGCAAAACTCTCAAGGCATAGTCAGAGACACTTTTGAATCAGACCTGTAAAACAATTAATATCAGCTTCTCCATAAACTTTGAACTTTGAATCCAATTGTTAATCTGGATCCACCTGCGATGTTTTTATAGGCTGAAATGGGCTGTTGATTTTTAGCTGGAAATAGATGCTTTTTCTTTCTCTAGATGCATTGACACATTACAAATGTCAGATGAGGAGCAGACAGCTGAGAATGGGAGATTCTCTTGTGTCTCTGCTAAGGGTTGTCTACCTATATGTAATTTCTTAACTAGTGTGAGTCTTCATACTGTACTGAGTGTTTCAGTGGCTCTTCTGTTGCTGTGATTTTGCAGCAGAAGATGTATCGGCTGTTCTTTCTCATTTTTCCCCAGCATGTGGAAATCTGTTGGCTTGCACTGATATTTCTGGGGTCTTGCCTTACCATGATTCTGATATAAGGACTTTTTTTTGTGTGTGTTTAGGTCAGCCAATGAAATGCAATCTTCATATGAATGGGAATGTCATCACCTCAGACCAGCCTATATTGCTGTAAGTGTCCTTTGGGTGAGGGGAGAACCAAACATGTTTGCAGGTTCTGTTTTGAGGAGACCCTGAGGGGAGGAAAACTGTTGGCAAATGATTGTCCCATGAATACTCTCCTATTCCTCTCTGTGGTGCTCTGTGTTGAGCTGAGTGCAATATAGCTTAACGCCATAGAGTTCCCAGCCTTGAGGCTCAAAACAGGTCCGATTAGGAAGTTTTCTTGTGAAGAAAGCATATTTAAAACCTCTACCTCTAATATTGGGAAGGGTGCAACACCAAGAACAGTAAGTGCAGACATAGTGTTAAATTTTATTTCACAATGAGAGGTTAAATACTGCTTTTCTTTTTTAATCCTCCAGCCGATTGAGTGATACCCCTTCAGTGAAGAAGGAAGGAGAACCACGCCGGTCAAGTGCAAGCGCCTCTTCAAATCCCCCAGCTGAGGTGGACCCTGACACTATCTTGAAGGCCCTCTTCAAATCCTCGGGGGTCTCTGCCTCAGTGCAGCCCACAGAATTCAAAATTAAACTCTGAGAAGGGGGAGCGAGCAGTGGACTGGAAAACTCATTTAAGTTGGGGAATGAGAAAAGTGCAGGAGTGCAGATGTTTGCATTTGCCTGCCTCGAAATTTTTTGTTTTCTATGATCGCTACCTTACTGTACAATAGTGTTTCCTCTTGTGTGTGTACTTTCTGTTTTCATAGTTGAAGTTCTCTTCCATGATTTTTTTTTTCAAAAAGAATAACCTCCCCTTTCTGCCAGTAATGTATTACCAAACACGTACCATGTAACTCCCTCCTTTACTCCAAAGCCCCTAGTGGCCATTAAAAGTGCACGTAGGCTTTGAGGGAAGGAGTGGTGATCTCCTTCTCTTTTCTTCTGACTGACCTTTAACTAAAAGGTGCATTCCCTTGATTATCAACAGGCAAGAACACCACATTGTTTCTGAAATTGCTGCGCTGGGTACGAAGTCAGGTGTGGCTCCATACAGGAAGGACCATCTTGCATCTTTGACTTGTATGCCTTCGGTGGCATACTACTTCATTCTGGCTGTTGGACTTTTTTTTTTTTTTTTTCTGCTCAGCAGCTGTGACACTGAGAAGAAGCATGAAAAACTGAGCCTCCCTCTCTGTATACCAGCCAACAGAGGCATCAGGCAGAAAGGACATAGGCACAAGTGCACCACCCATTGTGCTATGGGGAGGGATGCTTCAACTCTGGTAATGCAGAGAGGTGGGGGGGAGGGCTCTGGCATTTATACAATGAATATATTCACCCTCAAGGGTCAGGCTCAGTTGCTGTCTTCTTCTCTGGACTGAAAAATAATAACCAGTCTTGTGTTTAGAGCTAGAGGAAATCCAAGTGTTTTACTCCCATTAGACTGTATTGCATCCTCCTGCTGATGCAGGGACATGAATTTTTTTTTTCTTACCTTCTAACTTACCCTGTATCCTATAAAAAGAAAGGAGCTGGGGCCTTTTTCAGATACTAATAGATAGGAAGCAGTCTTTTCTTGTGCCTGAGAACTTACTCCTTTGAGAGATGTCATTTGGGCAATGTTTGGCTGCTGTGCAGGCATGCTGCTCACAGACGTGGATTTGGAGGATGATGTCTGCACTTCATGGCTTCAGGGAGAGGTTTTGAAGGGGAGGACGGTTAGCACTCTGTAAGGAACATATAGGAGAGGAGTGTTTAGCAAGTCCCGTGCAGAGCAGCAAGGATGTACCTTGGGCAGCGAGCATCTGTGACAAGCCGCAGGCCACTAGGTGGCACTTCCAATACTTCCTTTGTTAGTACAGCGTTATTGCCATGGATATTTGAAGTCCCAGTAGCTGCATTCGTTTGTAGTTGTTCAAATTGTATTATAAGAGAGGAAAGCTAAGAGCCACTTCCAGAAGCTGGCTGGGATTTGAACTTGATCCATCTAGCTAGGAGACTGACCTAAGATGTTCTGTTCTGCTCCGCTGAACTTTAATGAACACTCTGTAAGGGTCGTAGGCCCAGATTCCATTTCTTGGTCAACTCTGTTTCTTTTGCTTTCTTCTGTATTAACTCTTTGCTCTATCTAGCTTGTGCGAACCATTCCTCTATCTCACTGTATCCCTTTTAGCCATGGAAATAACTGAGGACTTGGCAGGGCTTGTTTTTCTGGAGTACTCTGTGGTTTGGGAGCCAACGATGCCATTATTGGTAGGGTGCTTCATGTGAACAGCAGATGTTTGTAGGGGAGAGGACCTAAGACAGCTATTGTTCTCCTTTTTTAGATTGCCCATCAAACACCTGTGTTTTATTAAAAAATTTGGGGGGAGGGGGAGGCAACAGTAGGGGTTGGAGAAGATAATGTATTACCTGTTTCTGAATAAACGTTTGTTATACGGAGAGTGTATTCTAAGCCTTTTCAGATGTGATGAAGCAACTAAGATAGGTGGAGTTATTCCAACATTGAATCAAGCATGCTTTTAGAAGAATTTAAAAACTTCAAAACTGATAATGTGATGAAGAATGAGGAGTATATGAATGAGAGGATTGATAAATCATAAGCCTTTTAATCTGGATCATCAAAATTAGTAGCTAATTCTTGCCACTAAGGGGGAGCAACTTGTGTCCCCACCTAGTTCAAATTCTTCTACAGAAAAGGAAAGGAATGGCCTTTGTTACTGACAGCTTAGTAATTTAAAAAGTAATTTTATTAGAAAAATACAGCTGTGAAATCAGGGTACCTGTTCTAGGTGAGGTAGGGTACTTTCATTATCAAACAAAGCTGTGCAAATGTGAATACACCTGTATTTTGAATGTATCTTGTATCTTCTGAAAGAATGGGGAGATTGAAACATTTTTTTAATATTAATAGATTAATATCCATTCCAAAAGCCAAATAGCAAGATGCACTTTGTAACTTGCTGTTAAATTGTGCATTGTGTTTAGGTTACCTGTGAAAAATTATGATGACATTAGCATAGTCCTTGGAAGAACTACTGCTCTCTTCTCTAGCTCTGTGATCTATGGCAGTATATTTTTTTTTTTTTTTAAATTGGTGAAGTTAATGGTTATATAAACACCACTCCATGATTTGTCTACAGCAATGTCTTGGTATGCATTGCTCTTCCTGTTCTCTGTCCGCTTTCTAAAGTTACCTTAGTCGTCTTATAATTCATAGCGTGGCTTCTTTCCTTGGGCACTGAAAGAAAGGTAACCAGTTATTCCCAGTCCTTTTCAAACAGTTCACCTTGCAGCTCCCCCAACTTCTGGTTGTCCTGCAATTGTCATGCTAATCTTGTTTGCATTCCACTGAGCTCACCTATCTCCTTCTGAGCAAACATCTGTGCACATTTGCCCTCATGCAGTGTGGTTATGTATTTTTTTTTGTTTGTTTGGGGTTTTTTTTCTGGGCTGTTAAGAGATTATAAACTCACATAGGAAATACTGATTGCTTGCAGTAATTCAATATGGCTGGCCAGGACAGGTGGTAGGTGACTTGTTACAGTGTTTCTTTTTTCTTTTATTTTCCTTTGCTTTTTCAAAAACATGCTGACTTGTGAAGTTATGCCACCATTTGCAAGTTTGGTATATTTTCATGGCTTTTGCATGTACCATTCCTTTTGATAATGTTGATTAACTTGGATATTTGTTTGGTGAGTCAATTTTCCATGTCACTTCTTACTTTCACTGACCTCTTCCACCTTGTACATGTGTCTTGCTTCAGTATCTTTTATTTTGGAGCAGGCCTGTCTTCCATTCAGTCATAAATACAGGTTCATCTGTAATGGTCATCACTTTTTTTTTTTTCCCCCGATTAACAGGAGTCTTTAAAAAACTGTTGTTCTTACAGTCCTCTCTGAATGTTTTTGCATACCTTTTAAGGTTTATTTCTTCTATTTGCCCTTCCAGCGCTGAGCACGTTGCCTGCATTTTACACTCTTGGGGTCTTCAATTTTCAGAACCGTGTCCCCTAAAGGATGGTGTGTCACAGACTTTCAGAGCATCCTCTTAAGAGTGTTAACCTTTTCGTTACACTCAACCCTCGGGCGG